CATCGGGCACTGAATCTGCTGGTGCCTTGATCCTGGACTTCCCAATCTGCAGTACCATAAAAAATAAATTTCTATTGTTGATAAACTACCCAGTTTATGGTACTTTTTTATAGCAGCCCAAATGGACTGACACTACTGGATCAAGATTTTTTGGTAATATAAGGATTAAATAGCTCACCTATAGCTCCTGATATGTGGACTTAAAGAGCAAACTGAATTGCTGTGCTCTTCACTTGATAAACTTGGTAGACTCAGTCTTTGGACTTCATGTATCATTCTGAATACACTAACATGGCATTTTGGGGTTGCTTTTCCTGAAAGGTTGTTGTCCCTTGGAATTTTATCCTCTTTAAAACATACTAACAAATTCCACCTTTTTTTTAAGTAACAATAATCAGGAAACTGATCCAATCATTGCTCTATGTAGAAGCATTCCTCACATACTCAAATGGCAGATTGTTCACATGCTGTGACAGATATCAATAACTTTTTTAGCAGGCTCTTGCCATCTGGGCTGGGAATTGTTTTATCAAGGGACAAAGACTTTTTGCATTTACAGATGGAGCTGCAAAAGGAAGACCCACAAGAGAATCCAACCCCCAACTTTCCCTTTTCTATCATTCGTCCAAATCTCCTTGGCTCAAAGCCTCGTCAGCATCTTCTATTCCTCTCTCTTCACATCCAGACACCACGTCCTGCCAGTGCCTTCTTTGATGTATTTTTCATCATCTTACTTATTTTCCATTTCTTCTGCCAGCCTCCTGTATTCAGGCCTTTATTGCCTCACACCTGCCTCATTGAAATTATCTCCAAACAGAACATTTCTGCTTTCATTATTAGTGGTCCCCACTGCAACAACTATAGAGCTAGCTTTTTAACCTGGTATTTAAGTGTTTCCATATACAATCTCTAGCACCTTTTCTTCTTCGGCCATGGCTAAAATAGTTTAATTGGCATTCCTAACAGGATCTGCTACTTCAAATGGTAGGTTACATGTGAAAACCACTTGGCAAAATATCAAACATTAAATAAGTATGAGTTTTATTTTGTCTTATACCTGCCCCTGGTCATCCTGGTGTAATGCTTTAATGATTAATGATTCTTTACTCACTCTTATGCTCTGCTCCTTACTCTACTGAAAACATTAATCCTCTTATCTAGATACCCCAATACCACATTCCTTTGGCTTTAAACCCATCTTTTCTCTCCCCTCCCAGATGCTTCAGGGAAAGTTTGAGTCCGCATCTTTCTCTAAGATCACCACCTCCATAATCAACTAAGGCTATTAATCAACAGCCAACAATCAGACAGAAATTTCACTCCAAGCACCTAGCTGATAAACTTGGAAGAAGAAATTAGGCTGTCTTTTATTACCTCATAAAGAGTGTCTGCCTTTTTATATCACCTGCCATCTACTCAGAGCTACCTAGATCCTCTACATAGCATTCCCTATTCACTCCCAGTCCACAGCAATCTTTATACTCTGAATGTTTATAGAGCCAAACTCCTGTGATATGACCTGTTTATGTGGCACTTTGATCCTGCCATGATTAATTACTTGGCTTTCGTAGTTTACTCTTGTATATTCAAATAGGTTGAAAACTCCTTTAGGGTGATTACTGTATCTCATGTTAATTTGTATTTTCATATTTTGACATGATCAAACAATGGCTGACACATAATCACTGATAATGAGTTAATGGTGCTTATTAGTCACACTGGAGGTTACTGATAACAATTCACTCTCTTAGTTAAGCTATTGATAGAGTCCCCAGGAGGACGTGTAGAAAACAGAAAATCATTGTCCCCTTTAAGGAAGAGATGCCAGAGGAGAGAACAAGGGTCAAGAAGAGGAATATCCAAAATCCAAAAGACAAATGTGACCAAATCAATGTTTTACTCAGCATTAGGAATACATTTATGTAACATTTTAAAAATGAGAAACTTCAGAGAGATCCTATTCTGCCAAGTCCTCTGATTTTACTTTTCATTATTTCAGTTGTATATACATACATCACCCTGAAGCAGGCTTTCTGCAGCTTCAGAGTATGCTCAGCTGCAACTGAAAGAGCCCTGACCTTTGTTTATCCTTCATGTATACTGGGGTTCACGCTGCCCTGCAGCCATCAATCTGACATCAGAAAGCAGTAGGATTAGGGCACATAATAATAAAAACAAGAGATGCTCACTGGTGATTCCAATGGAGGGAAAAAGAACATAAGAGCATTTTTAACATAGTAATAATTCTTACGTACAGAATTCAACTACCAAAGGAGACTCAACTGAAAAAAGAAAATGTTCCTCCATTTTTAATTGACTAACAAACCCCAGAACGATGTGCTGCTTCTTTTGAAACCAGGGGGAGGTCATTTTCCTCTAGCTGGATGTTTTAGGAAAGACAGAGGAGGGGTCCCAGCACCTTCCACTGCTTTAACAAGACAGGGTGGATCTCTGTTGCTGCATTTCTCCTCCACATATCTCCCTCCCAGTTCATAGAAGTTGGACAGATACCTGTGTCTTGCCTGCAGATGTCAATCAGGAAAAATGCATGGTTTTGTACCAAAATGATGAAATGCAACTTTCGCTTTTCAGAGACATCATTTTTAAAAGAGAAATCACTCATCTAGAATAAGTGTCAGTGTTGAAAACTAAACTTATTTCTCTGAGTATCAGTACCCTGACCTATATAGCAGGATCTCCTTCTGATATCTGTATTTTTTCATTATAATTTTTAAATTATACAAATTAAATTTCACAAATGAATACAAGTAAATAGAGATTTTGATTGAAATAATAATGCATGTATTGCTGATATCAGTTTATTGTAGCATTACCATTATTAAAGTCCTTTATTGTCACAAGGAAAAGTGAAGGTCAATTTTGATGCATAACTACTTTACCTTAATACAAATACTTTAAAAGAAAAAAAAGCATTGGGGCTCTTTAGAACTATGCAGTTCTTTGTTTCTCTAATTTCTCTATATCCTTGACAATGATACTCCAGCCTGATGCTGCTTCATTCTTATATGAATTCTCCAAAGCAGGAAGAACAAATGTCCAAAAGTTTTTGTCATACAATTCTGTAAAAGATACAAATAAGTGGAAGTCTCAAAACTCTAATGTAATACTTGCTGATCAAGGTATAATTTGGATGAGCAAATTAGGAGTTTGGGTTCTTTTAAATACATAACTTGTTCTAAAAATTTAGCAAAACATACAGAAAAGTATGCATCTCATATAGCTCTACTTAGATTACTGTGTGCAAAAAAGAAATTGTGTTTTCAAATGAATACTAGTTGCACTAGAAAAGTCCACCCTATCTTCTCTGCTGCAGACCCTTCTCAGCATCACATAGACATACACAAACCATTCCCAGAGTTCTTCAACTTTCTCTATTGAAGTGGGATATGCTGCCTACTCTCAGTTTAGACTGGAGAAAGACACACCAAATGGAGGCTTTGTTCTGTGTGACAAACAATATGACATAAAATGGCTTCAAGTGATAGAGTGGTCTTTTCGCCTTCTTAACTATAAACACAAATGAACTTTTCATTGGCAACTTTTGCAATTCGTTAATGCCTCGACAAGGTTCTCAAAACAGCAGAAGCAAACATTCAAAAGGTACAGTTGAAGGGAAAGGGAAGTAAAGATCAGTAGTGTGCAATTACTAGAAAATAAAATCATTATTCGTCAGAAAATTAGATCTAACTATGACAAACCTCTTGATCCCCATCGTGTAGTTAGAAATTTACATTCAAACGGAGCACCTCAATTATTTCCCTTTCTGGGGGCAACAAAGATTATAACTGATTTCTCAGCAGGAGTGGCAGGGCTGAAAGAATAACTTTTGAGGAAGAGAAAGCTTGGAGTGTCCCACAATTCAAAGGACAAAAATTCAGGTTTCCCCTAGACCCTGCCAGGCGCAGTCGAATGGTCAGGCCAGGGAGCAAATAATCCCATGCAAGTTTCTCAGAGGCCCAGGGAGAGAACCTCTTAACTAGTGCTTTGAGGCCCACTATTCAAGATATCCACCTCTGGGGTCACAGATAGTGCAAAGCTACAGAGATCCATCAAACTGAAAGCCCAGAATTCCTATTTGTAAAGCAAGGTTCAGCTAACTTTGTGTCCTAGACGGACTATAGAACAAATGCAGTGCAATGTGAGGAAGCGCTAAACCGAGCCATTCCCCAGTCTGAAAAGGACTAGAGGGTGAGTTAGGACGAAGAAGTCTGCCTCTTATGGATAAAATTGCTTGTTCAGGTTCCACGGAGAGAGCCAGCTGGAACCCGGGCCCGCGCGCCCTGGGAAGCCCTTCCAACCTGCCGCCTCTCGGTTCCACCTCTTGGAGCCTTCTTGGTCTCTCCGGTCCCCAGAGTTGGGTGAGACCTAGCGCCGTCGGCTTCTGCAAACTTCAACTTGTCTCCCTGCGCTTTTGCGTGTCCCGGAACACAGGCAGAGGAACCCAGACCGGGGTGAGTCCGCGGCGGCGCTTGGAGCTGTGCCCGAGCAAAGACGGTGGGGGAGGTGAGCCCATCCCGGGCACTCCGCGACCCCAGCGCGCTCACAGCAGCCGGCGGGAGGCTCCCGCCGAAGGTAAATGGCTATGCCAGGACATGCAGGCTCACTGGCAACCTGTGCACACAGAAGTCCGCTCCCCCCACTGTATGACTGTCAGTTTCTTTGGTGAGTGCTGACTCCAAGACAAGCGCGGACCAAATGATCCTCACGCCCTCTTGGCTCTCCCGGACTGGTCTGGCCTTGAAACTTACAACTCCACTCTAAGAGACACATCTTCTAGCCACATGGTTTGAGTCCAAGAAAACAAAGCAAGCAAGGGCTGTGCACAGGAGAGTCATTCTGAGTCTACACGGAGAGGCGGGGGTATTCCCGGGGCAAGGCTCCCACCGGGAAAATCAGACTCCTGCCTCCGCAGACCAAGAGCATCAGGACCAGAGAGGGAAGCAGTGAAGGAGGGGAAAAAGGGATTAAACCTCCCCCCGAGTGAACATTTCTAGGGCCAAAGGGCGAGAGAGGTGGAGCAAAGTCCAAGCTTTCGAAGTTGATCGGTCAGGTGGAAGCCCTTAGTGGACAGAGCGGCTGGGTGCACAGTTTATTTTTCTGTGTGTACTTTCTGTCGTGAACCGCTGAGTCTTACACTTCCACCGCGAACATTGGGGGGGACAGAGAAAAAGGGAGGAGGTCATTACTGGGATCAAACCTGAGGCTGAGGCTCAAGTCTGAGCCAGTGTCTCTTTTCACAGACCGGGGAGTTTCCCAGGCTCTCCTGGCCGGCAGCTGGGGCCGCTTTGCGCAGAGGGCCCTCCCCTGGCGCGGGGAGCGGGGCGGGGACGAGGTCTGGAAGCCTCGGGTGGAGCAGCTGAGAAAGTCGAAGAAAAAGTAGCAAGTTATCTTAGGTGTTGCTTCCAAAGGCCTGGGGGACGCGGGGTGAAGGCGGCGGGTCTCGTAGCCCCCCCGCTCACCGGCTACTCCGCCACCATCATCGGCGGCAGAATTTGCATTTCATGATCTTCTTAAACGCGTTTTGAAAGTCCTTGTTGAAGTAGGCATAGATGACAGGGTTGAGCAGAGAGTTGGAATATCCCAGCCAATTGATGATGGCGCCCAGCAGAGTGGGCATGTGGCAGCTACTCTCACAGAAGGGCAAGACCAGGGCCACGATGAAGAAGGGCAGCCAGCAGAGAATGAAGGTGCCCATAATGATGCCCAGCGTCTTCACTGTCTTCCTCTCTCGGGCCAGGGCCATCTTGCGCTTGGCCTCAGCGTTGCGCTCGTTTTTCCTCTCGAAGGAGGCGGGGGCACAGGGGGTGGCACCAGCCTCGCTGGGCAGCGGCAGGTGCTCTTTGGAATGGCCCACTCGGTGCACTTCGATCACCTCCAGGGCGGCACCCTCATCGCCTTGCCTCACGGCGCCGTTGGCGCACGGAGCCCCCCCGGACTTGTCCTCCACGCCCCGCCTCCAGTCCCTGTTCCCTGACTCTCCGTTGACGCGCTTCTTGGGCTGCGGGGCCGGGGCTGCTCCGTGGCGGGTGTCCGCCCCGGTCTTCTCAGCCTTTTTGACCGTCTTGCGGATGCGGAAGCGCGCGGCTCGAAATATGCGCCCGTAGAGAACCAGCATGAGCAGGAGCGGGATGTAGAAGGCGCCGAAGGTGGAGTAGATAGTGTAGCCGTGGTCCTTGCTGATGGTGCACGCGTCGGGGTCCGAGCGGTCTTCGGGGGTGCGCCAGCCCAGCATGGGCGGGATGGAGATGAGGAAGCCAATGAGCCAAGTGAGCGAGATAAGCGCAGCGGCGCGCCGGGGAGTCCTCTTGTTCACGTAGTCGATGGGGTCCGTGATGGCCCAGTACCTGTCCAGCGCGATGGCGCACAGGTGCAGGATGGACGAGGTGCAGCACAGCACGTCGAGGGCGATGAACAGGTCGCAGGTGACCTGGCCCAGGGTCCACTTGTTGAGCACCTGGTACAGCGCGGCCATGGGCAGCACCAGCACCGACACCATGAGGTCGGTGACCGCCAAGGAGCCAATGAGATAGTTGGCCACGTTCTGCAGGGAGCGCTCCAGGGCGATGGCGGCCACCACGCACGCATTGCCCAACACCGCGCAGAAGATGAGGGTGCCCAGCAGCAGAGAGGTGATCACTTGGTAGCTGAAGGTCACGTCAGAGATGCCAGTCGCGTTGCCGCCAGTCTCAAAGAGACCCTGGGAGGATGTAGTGTTGTTGCCCTGGCCGGGGCTGAGCACATCCATGCCGGCGCGCCC